AGCTCATGGGCAGTTAAGAGATTTAGCGATTAGGGTTTTTAGAGTAAGACTGTCACGTGTGTTCGTTGTATTTGTATGCGATATGTGGTGAATGAATTGCATGAATTGTGTGCTGAAAATGTTTGTGAGCAAGATGTATATCTAGTTGCAAATGTTGTAATAAAGTATATTTAATCGTTTTTTTTACTTTTAATGGGGCGGTGAGTTGAGCCACCTTAATTACTCATTTCCAGTTTTAATTTTTGTTGCGCCTGTCATCTGGTGGTAAGTTGTATAAGCTCACTCGCCTCTTTTTTTTACCGCAAAGCACGTGACTCATTGCGTTTCCGCTTGACCGTTACTCTTACGGTTATTATATGCGACGAGCAGTTCCTAGCTTTTACCTAGTAACTACGACTAGTGTTATAAGAGTGTACTGAACAATACGCTCCGCGTTGTACCGCAGTAATTGGCTTTTCGAATCATCTAAAACGTTGAGGCCCAATATTGTTTTAGAGCCGACTTTAAAGATAATCAGATGGACAGAGGTTGCGATGTTGGGACTCTGTACGCTGTTGTAACCTTATGTCAAAGGAGGGTGGTCGACCTCGGATTTCTGACAGCAGTGGCTTGACCTCACGGCCATAAAATAAGTAAGGCCCCCCCCCCCCCCCCCATGGTGGAATACTAAATAAACTTCCATGCTCTTTGCGTTCCGCTTGATTGGTCGATGACTTAGTAGGATATTATACTGGCGATCTATAATATTCGACGCCGATCAAGAGTTTCGCCGCTAAATTTGATCTTAAAGGGGCCCTGCAATGCCTTTTTTACTATTTTTTAATTTGCACCAGTCCTGAGCGCACTGAACGTAGTAACTCGGGGAACTTTTTCTTTTCTCGAAAGTCGCTTTATTTTAAAAGTTATAGGCAAATTAATATTACAAGAAAAAAGCAAAAAAAAGCAAAAAATAACCTCCCTCTTACGTCTTTGGTCCTGGCTTTGTGGTTGGTCCTGGCCTGGCGTAGTGACTGGCCAATCGGCTACGGCTTACGTTAATGGCCGCTTCCCCTGCAATGCGTCAACGGCTCGTTGCTCGCTTCAGCCCTCCACCGCGCTTGCCGGCATGAATTTACCGGGTCTGTCGGAGTTGGAGGTCCGAATCCTCCATAGAAGTGCGGAACTGGGAGTAGTACCGTACGAGGACACTCCTCGCAAGCGTCTGAAGCGCGCTGGCGAAGCTTCTCGGCCCCAACTCGACGAAGTTCCGGGCGTGCTTCCTACCGCCCCACTACCGGAGCCACCGCCACCTCGTCGAGCTGGAAGCACAGATTGGTGAGCGTTTTCGTTGTAGCTATTCCCATAATCACATTCCGCGCACAATCGGGGAGCTCGGCTTTTAACGACTGTTTTTTGCAATCAAACAGGTGCGACTGCGGCCGCTGCACAGCGATGCCGACAGCTCGAGAGTGCTTCTGCTGCCGAGAATTGGCACCGGCCGTGCGGAAGCAACCGACGCGGTGCATCACGTTGGACGGAGACTTCTCGAAGCTATGCTTAGATGTTTGCCGTTCTTGCGGTGGCATACTGCGAAGTCCGTGAGAGCGGTCGTGAGCTTCAACACCAGCTGCACGAGTGAGTAGGCGGGCATGAGGGTTGGCATGAGGCAACCTAGCCGAATTAGCCGTGGCGCACACGTCACAGTACCCAAAACGAAAACCGTGATTATGTACTACATGTAAACATTTAGGGACTTGTGTGAGTGTGGTGACTCACGGAACCTTTTAGTATGGGTTCATGTTTTCGAAAGCCCAACCTTGCATGGTTTCCTTGTGTTCATAATTTTGAGCTTTTGTTCTTCAATTTCTGCATCTTATTCGGTGAAAATTATGCATCATGCACGACTTCTTATTGCTCAAAGGTTTAGGCATTTACTGTCTTGCCAAAGATATCCCAAATTAAATCACTCCTTTTTTTTTCTTTTTTTTTCTGTCGTGTATATTTTGTTTGATTTTGCACAAAATTTACTTTTGACAAAGCAAGCATATATGCTTTTCTAGGGATTAATCTCATTCCTAGCAAGTAGCAATGTACCGCGCATAGAAAATAGACTGCAACACAGTTAAAGATATCAACAGTGTTTTTATTACATGGAAAGGCAGCAGCATATACACATGGGCCAACTGCACCACATATCTTAGACCTATAGATAACAGCCTGTCAAAATAATGGGAGTTGGCGTGACAGGTGACACTACTGTCAAATACTGCAGAAGCACCCACTGTGGACAATCGCCTGCTATTATTATTTTAAAAACTCAGGAATACTGCAGATAGACCGATCTCACCAGCAGGGCTGGCTGGGCAGTATTGCGATACAAATCTATTGCAAGAGTACCTTGTTTGCGCTGTTTGACCCCTAAACATGCTTCACCAACTAGCCCAAATTTCAACAGTATGCCCTCCCCACGTAGCACCGTTCAGGAACAAATGTATTTTTATAAGTGTCAGTATCTGTATTCCAGAATACTTTTTCAATGTTTTTCAGAGGTGTCTCAGGGTCGTCCCGTTGCATAAGACAGATATATAGCATCTGTATTTTAGGCCTTAAAATACATATATCTCAGTATTTGTATTCCTGAATATTCTCTGGAGTATCTATGCCCCGCCCTGCTCACCAACCAGTTTGACTGCACCACCGCTATCACAATGCATCAAGAAAACTTTTGTCTTTCTGCATGTGCAAAAGTATTTAACAGGTTGTTACTCTGAGGTAGGTTTATGTCGGGTTTAAACATTTTCAAGAAAGGCAGGGCAGCATCGAAGATGTTTGTCAATTTGGCAAGCTTGGAATTGCATGTCGCAAAGAAAACATACAAACGGTAAAGGAGCTTTGGCCAAGGATCGTCTACTCACAGTATGAATGTTAGCGGAGGAAGTGGGCATTCAAGCGTGAAATTGTCCGTTTTATTTAGACCTGGGATCTGTGTGATTGTGCTTCCCAACATTCAACACCGTGTGACAAGGGAGCTGGACGTCCTCCCGAAAAAGGACTTCGCTTAGATTTTCCAGGTACTGTTCATTTCCTGTCTACAAAAAACAAACGCTCGATTTTTCTTTTCTGCAGGAAGTATCGCTTTGTGGCATACTGGCAATTCACCCGCTGGATGTGGGGTCGCCTGGGCGCTGGAAACCGGCGAGTTTTGCCAGCATGTGCTGTTCATAAAATAAGAAAAACATTTCCCTCCCAGAGGTACACTGGCTTCCGGTACCCCTCTCTGGACTCCGCACCAGTGGATAGCTGAGGTTGGTTCACTTCTTGTGTCGGTGGTCTCTTGTCCAGTAGATCCTTCTGAAACCACAAGTATCAAAGTAGTAACAGCTAACATTAGCTGTAGTTAATTGCACCCCTGTAAATCAGCAGAGCTTGTTATTCTTTGATTCAGCCCCACAAATTACTGTGTATAAACTTTAATAAACATTTGACTGCATTTTGAACTTTTTTAAAACTGGGCAAACAACTTAATACCAGTGCCACAGAGAGATATAAGTATTGATAGAAATAGTGTGCTTTTTAGTATGTAATTAAAAAAAAAAGCTAAAGTAAGCGGACTGGATGCTGTGAATGTTTACATGTATTGCGAGATATCAAGCCATTTTTAAGAATTAGTGATATGGTCAGATGAAGTCCTGAAACGCTTCTAAGATTTATGTAATGTATGAGATGTAACAGCCTGTGTACACTGCACTGTCTCTGAGTGAGGAGTTTTATTTCTAGAAAACCCATCTCCAGATAAGCCAAGATAAACACGGAAGTTTGCTTATCAGATGGGCTTTAAGCCCTGCAGTGTGAATCCCTGTATAGTGGACTCTACTCCATAGTATGACCAAATTCAGTATTAGAGATTTTGAAAACAATGCACTCCCACAATCCTTGCAGTTACAAGAAAGATTGGCCTAGGTTCAGTTTCTGGGCTTGGCTGTTCGAAAAAAATTTAAAAGTCCATAAGGATGCTATATTTTTCAAATTTTAAGGGGTGCAATATGATACAATTATTGCTGTTTGTACCTAGTTATTCTCTTGTAATCCTCACATTTTGTCCCTTCTGAGAGATGTATTGGCATGAAGTTGCCAAAAGTGTGATTGCACATGAAAATCTTGCCAACTTTAAAGGGACACTGACCTGGTGTTTATGCTCGCCAAGGTTTTTATTTGTACATGACATATGAGAGCACAACTACCCAGAACACAATTTGCGGCCAGAAGTTCATTTTCTTTTCGACCGAAAACCGCCAATCAAGAGCTGGCCGGTTTGAGTCGCGCTTATACTCTCTTCTCCAAGGTCACGTGCCGTTTTTGGTTGGTTTAGACACAACCACTAAATATAATCAACGTCGTGGGCCATTGAAGGCAAACACTCAATATTAAAAATAAAAATTAAATATCATACCAATTTTTTGTGGCTTTTAAAAAGCCGGAAATATGTCGATTGAAGACAAAAAGGTTGCACAGCCACGTGGCTTCCCCCCGCTGTCTCCTTCTCTATATTTCTTCTTCCTCCCCAGTCCAGTTTTGGTTTCAGTTTCGAGCAGTTGCTGTTGAAAACAACAATGGACACCACTGGCATGAGACATTTAGTCTGGGGTGAGAAGAAGGGGGGGACGGGGAATCTCGACCGCGAGAGAACGGGCAGTCGAATAGACCGTTTAACACAAGCCGGTGGTGCTGCGATTCTTTCTCGACCTCAGTGTCATGAACGAATACCTAGCGAAAGAGCGCCTCAAAGCGCAACAGTTGCGTTTTCTTACTTTGTTAAAAAATATATGTGACACTGTTGCAAAATATTGATTTGGTGGTCTTTCGACACCATAATGAATTGCCTGGCAAAACACTAAAAAAACTTTTTTGGGTGTGTCAGTGTCCCGTTAAGGATTTATGTCCCAAAAAGCCAGGTGAGCTGGCATACCCCTAATCCTCATGCTAAATAATAAGCTGCAAGGTATCTGTATGGAGCATTCACCTCATGAGTGTCCTGGCGCCCCCCGGCTGAAGCGCGACATTCTCTGCGCCACCAGCTGCTCTTTGGGGAGCCTTGGGTAGAGCGCCGCCATGGGAAGGACTTCTTCCTGACGGGTCTTTTCCAGTGCCTCCTTGAAGGAGGACGACTCGTTGCAGCAAGTGACAACTTCGTGGAGAAGTGCGCCGACGTACGCTGTAATAATTGAGAGCTTAGGGGAAGCTTTATACAATAAAACAAATTTAAACCAAACAAGTGGCTACTGGTAACATTTGCAGTTATCTCAGAAAAGCCCAGTGCAACACACTTGTTTATGTCATACCATAGGTAGGCTTGGTTTTCTCCTTCTTGACGGTCTCGATCCCCTTCTTTGCCCTCTGCATTCTCCTCTTCCACTTGAGACGTCCGTCCCTTGTGAGGGCTTGGCTTCTTGTGGAGTTCTCATTATGATGGAGGGCAGCCAGCCTGGTTCTGAAGCAGAAATGTTGTCCACCGTCAAAAGCATTGTTGGGAAGTGTTAACAAAAAACAGTGGCGTAGCCAGAGACTTTTTTTTTTTTTTTGGGAAGGGAGGAAGGGGGGGCTAAGGGGTGGAGCTCTTGGGGGGGGCTAGGGGGTGGAGCTCTTGGCGTGTGGGGGTGCCGAGGGCATGGAAACATTTTTTTGCGCTGGACATGCAAAATGGCGCCTTGAGCATAGGATAGGAGAGGAACCACACTCCGGAGGCAGCGGGAAGGGGAAGGGTTGGAGGGCTGTAGGCTGGGCTGAAACACGATAGGCCCGCTTCCTGGCTGCGCACCTGACACAAAGCTAGACTGGGTTCTTTCAGGTGTGCCAACTTTTTTGACAAAAGACAAACCTGGCAAGCATCATGCCGGGCTTGAATGCAACAGACTTGGGGGCAAATCTTGTCAGAGTACTGTGATAAGACTCGAGGTTGTAGGTCTGGCCCGCGGGTGAGACGTGCTCGAGGTCCCTGAGCAGCAATCGTTGTGTCGTGATTGCTGCAAAACGCTTGTATGCTGGGGTACCTGAAATAAAAATTGCTCACTGTAGAGGTTCTTTCTACTTACCCTCCCCACAATATACATATGCAGTCATACCAGACAGAGAAGTGAGTGAAGCTAAGTTACTGAAATGGGTGTCTACTGACCTGGAGAGAGCCACTCCCTCTCTCCAATGAGAGGGTCATGGAGGCAGCGGTTGTAGATCCCTCCGTGGCCAGTATGCACATCCGAGGCATGATTGTTGATGCCTGCAGTTTCATAAAGTTTCTGCTGTCACCCTCCAGTTTACATGACTACCGAATACCAGTTTTATATTATAGAATTGCTTTCTGATCAGGCGATGTTTGAGGAGCTAGTTTGTATAGCTGGGCTCTGCTGATTTTGTCATGTTGGCTTCGTTTTTGCATTCACATTTGTTCTATAATATAATATTTTTATACAAAATTGGGTGATTTTGGCATTGGGCGTGAACTTCAGTCAAAAGTTATATACGGCTAAAAAGGTCAGCTGAACTAGGGAAAATAGAATATAGAGAGAAAAAGGGACAGACATACCACTGGGACGGTCAACTACAGCTTGTTATATACGGCTTGTGTCCTACATCCTTCTACATGTACTAGTGTATTCCTCCAATAGGTTGTTCTGAAACATCATCCCTCAATGTTCTTTTTTAATATTATAAGGAAATGCAAAGGTAGTGTGCTGATTTGTTTTTGCAATGACAAATGTTAGATGCGAATGCACTACTGCATGATATACCACAGAAATGTGTGTATTACGAGGAATTTTTTTTATGTTTTTGCATGTGAATTGTGTCTTGTATTATATAAAGATTCAAACAATTTTCAGCATTCATGAGGTCAGTTAAAACACAGTCTCTCGTAGTTTCGGTTCCCAAGTAACCAAAATCATTATCACGCTTTTGTTAGCTGTTGTACCATCACCCGACCACTTAATCAACCAAAGTCGCCACTGTCGATCGCCTGGCTGCTATCAAAATCTCGCCAAGCACCTCATTGGGACCATTGCGGAGGTGATACACGGCGAAACAAGTGACTTTAGTTTAGAAGACAGTTGGCAGCAGCATGGCAAAAGTTGGCTGTAAATGAGGGAAGGATACAAGGGTGGAGGCAACAGACCCAACCCCTTTCTGCATGCAACAGCACAAGAGGTGTCCGGTGTCCAAAGAACGAAGCACTTTCTGGGGTGAAAGTAGACATGGCACACTTTGTGAAAAAAATAATGTACTTTGCATCCTGGTATAAACAATTGAGGTACTAGGGGCAGAGGCAATGGAACTAGTAAGACAGAAAGGCATCCCACAATAGTAAAGGACTACAAAGCAAACAAGCATTGGCTTTTGCCCTTCATTTTCCGGAGTCGCATTAAATGTGGGTTAATCTTTTTTTAATATTATTTTCTGTCGGTTTGCAAATAGTGATCTGTATTATATGAAGTTTTTAGTGTATGCAGGTTTCTACAGTAGTGTCAAATGTGACCCTGGACCCACACTTTCTCCAGGTAGACTGCTATGACTTGCTGCGATTATTTCCCAGAATACACGACAGATACGTCTTCAAGTAGAGTAAAAGCAGTCCCTGATCTGATTCACAACTCTCACCGTGCCTGCGGTAAGGGAACGCACAAATCACCTTTATATGTGATGGCTGCAGCCAGCCGTGGAGTAGCTACTGGCCTGGCAGATGCACATTAGTGATTTTTACAGCTTCGCTGGGATGATTTGTTTGTACAAGCATTTTTTATCTGTAACCCACTCCCTCACATAATGCTTTGGCACTGCTGGGTGTATTAGAAATAAACAAAATATAGTTTTGGAAAATGTTTCTCACTTTTCCACATGTCGACGAGGAGTTTGCCATCTCCTTCGCTGTTGGCCGCACACCAGTAGACATGGTTGGAGGCAGGCTGTGCCCATTGCACCAAGGCACCACACCCTGCATACTTGCTCGCCGCCAGCATCTTTTTGCTTACGCCTGTGCAGAAAGGAACTAGTCAGTACACAGAGCTGTTAATGTCGACTTCATGACAGACTGGTAGAAGAAGAAAGGGCAGAAAGGAAGACAAAGAAGTTAACCTGGGGTATTTTGTCCCGGTTTGCTACTTTGTTTTGGGGGAGAGGGGTGTGAGGAATAAAAGAGAGAAGAAAGAACAGAAAGTTAAAAAAAAATTAAGAACTACAAAGTTTGAACACTAACACTGCGCTATTCACTAACAATGAAGGTCATCTTCTATAAGCAGAAGTCCAGGCGTGTTGTTTTTAGGAATCTAACTAGTGCTTTTGTGGCCTTGGCTTCTTTGTGTGGATTGTCCCAAGCACCAAGCACTGTAGTCACGGAGAAGGGTCGGTTGTCTAGGCATGCTAGCGTGTTTTTGAGTTGTGTCCTTTCTGCGTCGTAGATGACACATTCACACAAGATGTGATGAATTGTTTCAATGGAGTCACAACTTGGGCACTTAGGTGTTGTGACCTGTCCAATCCGATGAAGGAACTTGTGTGTGTACGCTACACCGAGTCTCATTCTATGTATCACTGCCTCTGTCCGCCGTGGCATATCACTTGGAGTGTGGAATGAAAGATCCGGATCCAAAGCGTAGAGAGGTCCATACTGATGATAGGTCGCAGTATGCCACAATCTTCTTGTTTCGGTGAAGGCGTAGTGATTAATGAGAGACCGTATGTCGTTTTGACAGTACGGCACCATGACGTTGGGGGTTAAGAAATGGGCTGATTTCGCACCAGCATCAGCTGCCTCGTTCCCAGGTATGTGACAGTGACTTGGGATCCATTGGAATTTAATAGTGTGTCCTAGGTCGAAGCATCTTTTAAGATTCAGTAAAACGTCAATAAGGATTTGATCGTTTTGATTATGTCTCATAAATGTGGATATCACTTGTAGTGCCGGTTTACAGTCCGAAAATATTGTCCAGTGTTCGGGCGGCTTCGGGAAGATCATTTCAAGTGCTTGATTAATTGCCACTAATTCAGAGGCCGTAGATGACGTCATGTGGCTAAGCTTGAATGTCTTCGTTGTTAAGTGACTTGGGATAACCACACATGCTGTTGAGCTATTCGAACTTACTGACCCATCGGTGTAAACATGAGTTGTTGACGCATGATCACAAAGTATATTCGATAATACAAGTTGCATAATTACGGAGATTGGGGTGTTTGCTTTCTTCCTGATTCCGTTAATGTCCACTGTGACATCAGGCACGGGAAGCCTCCATGGTATGATGCTGCAAAGGGCATGGAGAATAATGATTAAAGTTTAGCACCTTTTGCTATGTGCCAAGCATCGAAGTAGTGATGGATCTCGGGCTCCTTCGTCTTCATGTGGCCCTTGATGGCGACGTGACGGTCGGTCACCAAGTCTTCAATGGTGATGCCCTGCCGCTTGAGGAAATCTATGCCCTTGACACAGCCATACAACTCCATGGAGTTGCTGGTCTTGACCTCAGGAGCCTGTAATTGTAAAAAGAATGGTTGCACAATAATAGCATGTTGCATATTATGTTATTTAGACATTCTCAAATCCAAACCATGACAAAAAAAGATTGGGGTAAAAAAAAAAGCAAAATTGTCAGCTTATATAAAATGGTTGCATATAAAGCATCTAAACCTGTTGCCATCTGATATAAAAACGATGGAGGTGGGGACTACCTAGATAGTATAAAGGACAACATACCATAATTACTCGAGTAATAGCTGAACTATTTATGAACAAGGCCCTTGCATCTACTTTACTGCAAAACATATATAGGCCCATCATTGCGTTGTGCATACATAACATAGCGAATAACTAGATCGAGAACACGATTCTCCATACAAATGCAATCTTCACAGATGGTATCTTTGCACAAAGACGTTATCTCTGTCCTGTAAACTGCTGGAATCGTGCTGTCGATCTCAATGATAGGCAAGCCGCGTGCTCCACAGAAAAGCGAACCCTCAGGTTTTCTTCATAAGCAGTGCGGCTATTACTTGAGTAAATACGGTATGCAGGTAGAAAACAATTAATGCCGAGTTACTAAATGATTAAGCAGCAGGTTATTAAGTTATGAGCAATTTTATTGAAAGGAAGGTGTGAGTGGCATTGCACACGAGTTATTAGCCACACATGAGTCAGGAAACTGAATGGCTACATGGTCAAACTGCCCCTAACATTTAATTTCAATTTCTTCTTTTTAGGTTCAATAAACAGTCACCTTGCACAGTCCCCTTAACTTTACTAGAAGGACGAAAAAGCCTCCCTGAAAGCATGAAATACTTGCCTCTCCAAGGCAGACCTGTACGAAGTAGACGACTTGGTTGGTGTCCATCTCCATGAACGTGTACGTCATGTACTTAGCGGAGAAGCCCGGCGAATCAAACCTCCCGTCTCCAGCCAAGTGAACTTTCTTTCCCCGCCTCTCTTCAAGAAGCCTCTTTTGCTCTCGATTCCAAACCTGCAAAAAAAAAAAATTAAGAAATAATAATAATTACATTTTTAGGAAACATTTCTTTAATATTTGTCCAAACTGATAAATTTTTCGTTGTTAACAAATTACGAGTGGGCAGCTACACTTGTAGCGAAATTACCTTTGTCTTTCACATGCAGTGCCACAGACTATATAGAATAGATTGTCATCTCGAGCAGTGGGTGCTGTCCGTCTGTCCTTTGTGCTTTGTCCAGCAGGCACAAGTGGTGCCTGCCACTTGTGCTACCACATGCCAACTCAAATGCAAAGTATGAAAACAAACTTCTAATTTTTTTAATGGATGCTGTCTAAGCATATTGTTGGTGGTACCCATCGCCTGCTGGACTTCAGAGGCAAGGTCGCACATTAATAAAAGCTATGGGAGTATGCGGCTCCAAAGTTGCACTTAGAGAAACATGGCCCTTGGCAGACAGTAAGTGAGCTGAGGCACTCACTCGTTCAATTGCAGGCTGCACGATCGCTGTCTGGTAAAGAAAGTACGTCCGTTCTGCAATAGCCTGGATGTTGATAAGTTCCAGGAGCCTCAGCACCTTGTAAGGGCTGGAACCAGTGGCCACAATAGCTGTGGACAGGAGGACGTTGCAAGCAGCCTTGTTCTTGATGAGTGGCTGACTCAGCCAAGTCCTCGTATGCTTGTCGGGACACACAGCCTTCACCTTGATCATTGTGCCTTGGGTCCAGGTTTGAAGTGTGCATGTTGCATGGCATGTGATGCACTGCCGGAATAGCTGCAGGAGGCAACTTTGAAACAGAATGTATTTCTTCTCCTCGTGCGGGGGGGGGGGGGGGGGGGGGGCGATGGGGCTGAGTCGCTGCACAAAGTATATTCCCAGGGTCAGTCACAACCTAAATCAATGATGTGATTGCTGCGCCATTTGTGCCAAACTGCGCCAAAGGGCTTATTCTGCTACATTTTACCAAAATGTAAGGAATATGCACCAACATTGTGCCACAACTTCATTTCACTTTAATACTGAGAAGTGAATAGCTCAGGGCTCTCCACCAGGCCGGATCATTATGATATGCTTGTGCAGGTTTTCAGAACTTTCGATAATCGTCTCAAATAACGTACTACTCCATTTGATTTCACGTCAAACATTGAATGTACTCGGAAGTTTCGCAATAATTCTTATTTTTGTGGTCTGCTCTGGCGAGTTAGTTCGTTGAGTGCGCTTCTCGTTGCACACTGATGTACTGCAGTAAAGCGACAGCGACAAAGTAGTCATTGCGATTTTGCATGTCTTGCTTTGCCGCAGTGCACACGTGTGGTCAGGTTAAAGCACTCCTCCAGAGCGAGACGTGGCAGAATTTCAGAATAAAACTTGGGCTTGTGTTCACTGGATGCCATATTTGAGTGGGCGATTTATAGCGCATTCTCAGAACGAGCTCACATTAATAGGCTGCTCCGACCGGCAATCTTGATGGTTTGTAATCCATGTTGCAGAAACACTGCTTATGCATGCCATCAGCACGTGCTCAGCAGTCATGCGCACAGGTATGGCCTCCAGTGAATACTCCCATAGGATAGACTGCGATATCCTGGCACTATCTTTTTTCAATTCGAGATTTCGCAAGGATACTTTGGTATTGCAAGAAGATTTATATGGACTTTTCTGTAATTTTATTTTGTATGCTTTGTTTTTCATCTGCATTCAGAATCAATTTTCTTGCAACCTCTAGAACTAAAAAAACAAAAAACAAGAAACATAAATTTACACGACAAAAACATTCCCCGGGGAAGGGGAACAAAGAAAAAACACAAATCTCCAAACACATCTAGGTGACTGGTGTGCGGCCGAAAAAATCTGCCCGGTCCTGGTATCGAACCAGGGACCTCTCCATTTCCAGTGGAGCGCTCTACCAACTGAGCTAACCAGGAGTTGCACGTCTGTAGACCAAAGAGAGCTGCTACCAGTCTAACACCAACAAGGGTGAACAGCCAAAATAACCATTCACGGCTGTATGTGCTGTCTTTCATCAATCATCTCGCTTTTACTGTGTCTGGTGCTTCTACACGCAAGTAAATAGCTAGTTCTGTGTTTAAGGGAATCGCTCCTGCTGTGCCATCGATGCTAACAAAAGGTTACACGTAAGTGACAAGGCAAAGTAAACATTGCCTCTTGGTTGCACAGGCCAACACATTAATCTTAACGTAATATTTGCAGTGAAATGAATGAAAATAAAGTGTACGCTTATGCTACCAAAGCTCTCTTTGCCGCTCCAAGAGCTGCTCCAAACTGAATCGGACCAGTTGCATCACTGCTAAATGAACTAACAGGCCACTTTTTACACCCTCGTAACCCTTTCTCCTATATGTGAAGGATCACAGACATGGTACTTGACCTTGAGACCTATTAACATGTATACTGGGGGTTTCAGTGAAAGCCTTAAAAATTCCTAAGGATAGGGTAACTGAAAAACAAATGAACTCTTTTCAAAAACCAAATGTTAGGAATTGCAAAAATATATAAAAATTAGCTATGTAGCTAAAAGTTGTAACTTTATAATTAGCAGTTTCTAGGTCTATGTTGCAATTAGAATTTTAAAGGCTATCACCATGGAAGGCTAAAGCAATTTATGGAAAGTAAAAAAAAAGTAACCGGCTTGGAGATATTCGCCGACAAACTTTGCTCTGTAATAGGTATGATAAGACATGCACGTAGTGATATCGAATTTCAGAAATCATACCAATTACAGTGCAGAGTTCATCGGCGAATATCATCAAGCCGGTGTCTTTTTACTTTCTGTGAATTGCTTTAGCCTTCCATGATGGTAACCTTCAAAATTATAATTGCAACATGAACCTGAAAACTGCTCATTACAAAGTAGATTAGCACATTTCAGTTACTTAGATAGGTAATTTTTATATATTTTGTGATTCCCAAAGTCTCTCGCAGCTCATATTTGGTTTTCGTAAAGAGTTTCTTTGTTTTTCTACTACTCTATTCTTCAGAATTTTTGAACGCTTTTGCTGAAACACCCAGTATGTGCAACATTCCACAACATTTTGCTCGATTCTATGTCATTTCATATCTTTATTTTCTTGTTTGAATTTCCTAAACTTCTATTAGCTTAGGAACATATGACTTTTGTACCATGTGCCCCCTTTTTTAGAATCTGAGAGTGCAATATTTTCTGTACGCTGTATTGAGAGTTGAGTGACACCACCTATCGTAACACTGTAACCGAGTATGTCAGGTAACGCAGTGACAGCTACCATAAAAAATGCTAATACACCAAAGGGCTGGGTCCCTAACAAGGCAGCAAATTTATACCCTAAACTTATAAACAATTTCTGCTATGTGAACTTCCCCTCGAATACATTTTCTCTTGATTGCAGTATGGTGCTCTCATATTGAAACCCTTTGTTATGCAATGGAAGAGCTCTGTGACGGATTACCTTAGGTAGCTCTCGTCCTGAGATGGCTCATAAGTTGTGTCTGCCTCTTGTGGGGATTGTGATCCCTCAACATTCTGTCGCGTCAGCGTTTTGGCGCGCCGTGGCGGCCGCGCTGGCGTACCGAGAGGTGGCGCTGCTTACCACTGTGAGTGGCTTCCTCCTCTCCCCCCTTGGGGCGATTTCCGTAGCGAACCCCCGCACAAAGGAGATCGACGTGTCGCTCCTTGATTGGCCACTTCGCCCCCGCCGTTATCTTAAAACCAGCGGACGGCAGTTTCGCTGGGGTCTTCTTCCTGGGATTCGGCGGCGGCGACAACGGGGAACCTTCCGGCGCACCGGTGAGCGTTTACCCCGTCCTTTGTACCTTTGTGAACGACCGTTCGGCCGTGGGCGATCTCCACACCGACGGCGTTCACCAGCTTATAGCCGCTGTGTTGTTGTTATTTTGTTTCATTGTAAATAAACAGTTTATCACCGTTACCAACGTGACTGGTGTCTCATTGCGCTCGACGAGCAGCATGCCACGCGAGGACGAACCCGCTTCGCGGTAGAGCGTCTCGCCGCGAACGTGGTACTCCCAAAGGCAGTGGCCCCAAGGAGAACCACACTCTTCCACCGGCACAGGGCTTAAACACATTCTTGGAGTTTCAAATGAAATGTCCCCAAGCAGGAAGTCTTGTTCTGCTGGCTTGTGTGAAGGGGCAACCCGCTCTTCAAAGAAACTTTCCTTGCTTGCCCTCTCAGTAGTCGATGGCGGCGCAAGTAGTGGCTCCATAGCAGGTGGCGCAGGACTTGCACATGGCAGCACAGGTGTTGGCTCTGTGGTGGTTGGAGCAGAACTTGCGTCTGGTGGCGCAGGTGCTGGTTGCCACGGGTCTGTTTGGGTTTCTGTTGACTCTTTCGTGCAGACATTCACTTGTGTAGCTGAAATGTGTGTAAAAACTTGCACTTTGTTTGTTCCACCAGGTTTCCGTTGGGCTATGTCCACAATGTTTGCTACACAATGTTTTTATGTGAAGTCATTGAGAATACTAAATACAATGAAGTCCAAAACTAGCTTGCTTTATGTCTTCAGAGCAGCTGTCGACAATGATAATAAAGGCCTATAATATCTCGTACCTATGTGAGTTAATATAAAGTCTTGCCCGAGCAGAAATATGTCCTGAATTAACCATGGCACACTGCTCGTTTAAAAAGTTCAAAGTGGAGAAAATTTGTATAAAACTGGGATGTATACACCTTTTCATTTCCGCAGTTGTATAGAGAATACTGGCTTACCTGTCGTTATTAGGTAGCTTCACTGCTGTTCGTTCTGATTTCAGCGCGCTCGTGGCTATTTTGCTGTGTTATGTGGCACTCGTTTAGTTCTATAATATAAATATTTATTATTTATTGAAGCCACCTTATGACTGCCATGCTATCTGATTTCAAGAAGGCAGCGCCAATGCGACAGCAAATGAAAAGGATACAACACTGTCAAGCCTAGACATAGTTGGAACTCCACGTCAGTTTAATAAGAAGAAACCTTTGCCAAAAAACGAGGGACAAGAATGCGAAGAGCACCGACATAGTGCTGACTAACAACTGAAGTTAATATCTGCATAGAACAGGACAATAGACATTGAAAGAAATCAGATAGGAAAGGATTGAGGAAATAACCCGACAAGACCCGTCACACCAAGCCTCCAAGCATATATACATATCTGCCGCACTCGATGTAAGACTTAGCCCAAATAGGCTTGAATGATTTACATACAAGGCAGGATGTAAGCAGTGCTCACCTTTGTTTTTAAACTTTTTTTCGATGCTGTATGTGTGATCAGCAGATGCCAGAGATATGCTGTTCCCATGATCGCTGCTAGCTCTGAGCTGGAGCTCCTGCAAGCAAAGAAAATGTGTCCAAAGTTATCTTTGAGTTTGTGCCTGGTGGTTAACTCTGAAACAGCCTGGTTCGCATTCCCCATACAAAAGATTGAAAATTAGCAAAACATATTTTAAACAATAGAAGGGTATGCACTTGGGCTAGTTGGCAGTTCATGGTTCAGAGGGTAAAAGCGCTAAAAAACAATGGACAAGTGAAAGACGAACAACACAGAGCGCTAGGCTCCGAGGTGGCGTTTTTAAAATCTTTCGTAAAATAGATAGTAGATAGATAAGCATTGATTTGATGATGTCGCATTTCTGTCATCACGTCTTGATTTCACGGTGTGTGAATATAGATATGTTTTTCTGTGAGTAAACTTTAGTTGCAAGAAGTGCTCTGTG